GAATGATATATAGCGATTTTGTTGTGCCAATTATAGAGGCTTTAGTGCACCATTTACATAAAATCGTACGAAAATATATATGGGAGCTATATCTAAATCTGAACCGATTTTCACGAAACTTTGCACACATTATTCTAGACTTAATTCAGTCCGCTTTGCCAAAATCGAATGATTTTCAGGGGTTTGGTGCACCATTTACCTAAAATCGGGCGAAACTATATATGGGAACCGATTTTCACGAAACTTTGCACACATTATTCTAGACTTAATTCAGCCGCTTTGGCAAAATCGAATGATTTTCAGGGGTTTGGTGCACCATTTACCTAAAATCGGGCGAAACTATATATGGGAGCTATATCTAAATCTGAACCGATTTTCACGAAACATAGCATACATTATTCTTGACCTAATTCACTATTCTATACCAAATTTCGTGCAAATCGAAAGATATATAGGGACTATTTACATTAAATCGGACACAAATATATATATATATATATATATATATATATATATATATGTGGGAGCTATATCGAAATCTGAACCTATTTTCATGAAACTTAGCACAATCATTCTAGACTTAATTCAGTACGCTATGCCAAAATTCATGCAAATCGAATGATATATAGCGACTTTGGTGTACCAATTACCTAAAATCGGGCGAAACTATATATGGGAGCTATATCTAAATCTGAACCGATTTTCATGAAACTTAGCACACATTATTCTTGACCTAATTTAGTAGGCTATACCAAAAAATTTCTTGCAAATCGAAAGATATATAGGGACCATTTCATGCATAAATCGACTCAGAAAGTTATTTTATGCTTATTCTCAAAAGGAACCATGGGTCTATCTCGATTTCTTTTGCCTGTTACAAACATATGCACAAAGTCATAATACCCTGAAACACAGTTTGGTGAAGGGTATAAAGAGGACAAATGTATGTACAGTACTAATTTGTGTATACAGTCCAAATTATTTAAATCGCTTCGTGCTCAAATTTTACGAATTATGTCATCAGTAATGTGTACAGTACTAATTTTTGTATACAGTCCAAATTATTTAAATCGCTTCGTGCTCGAATTGTACGAACTCTGTCATCAGTATCATCTTTTTGATTCAGATACTTCCACCTTTATCATTTTCATAACAACAAATTGGGAATTGGCAACACCTACATAAAGGTGGTTTATGAACTTAGTAAACATCTGTGGTTTGTATATTTACTAACACTTTGCTATAATTGTCAATTCCAATTCTTTGCTATAATGGCCAATTCTGATCTAAAAAGGGGGCAATTTGTATGGGGGCTACTGTTTCCCCTGCCCCCATCAAAAAATTAAGTACCCTATGTTACCACAAATGTACTCAAAAATCGACTGTGAAAATTTCATGAAAATCCGTTCAGTAGTTTAGGAGTCTATAGCTAACACTGATCAATGAGATTTATATTTATAAACAAAAAACAACCTTACCTTTTTATTCAAAATATCACTACATATTGTAAAAAAAAATAATAAACAAACAAACTCCAAACTGAACTAATGTTTTTCAATGAGATTTATATTTATAAACAAAAAACAACCTTACCTTTTTATTCAAAATATCACTACATATGGAGTATGTAAAAAAAAAAAAATAATAAATCTCGAAATAATCAAACTATAATGATGGAACAAACAAACAAACAGAAATTGATTTTTATATATCCGCATGTTATTGAAGCCAAATGAATATTTAATTAATATTATTATTTTTGTATTTAATTTTTTTTAGTATTTTATTTATTTCATTTTAAAGATTAAATAATACAAAAACATGTCAATTTGTTTGTTGTTATACCCATTGTTTTTATACAAAATACAATTAACTACGCTATTTCACAACATGTTGTTAGACTACATTACAAATATTACATATGTATTGGTTGGTATTGGTTAATAAGATATATTATATATATTTATAGATATTTACATTACTTTTACATACTAAAGGTCATACCTTTACGGATTCACACATTTTTTTTCACGTTTACCAAAAAACCAAAATTAAAAAATAAAAAAATAATAAATCAAGCCTAGCAATATTTTTTATAATTTTTTTTTTGTTTTTTTTTATTATTTTTTTAAATCAACAAAAAATATTTATCCACATGATTAACTACTTTTCTTTCGCTTAAAAATACAATTTGTTGTAATAGCAATTATTATTTTAAAAAAATATATATAAACAATTTTTATATATGTATATGATTAGATAGTGCTGGAAGTAAGTGTGTTTGTTTTTTTTTTGCTTTCTTTTAATACCAAAGATCAGGGGACTAAGAAGTGATCACAATTTTTTTTTGGAGCTTGGCTGTTTCGTTTTTAGAGGGAAGAAAAAATTTAAAGGATTTCCAAAATGGTGTTCTGGAAGGGGAGGGGTAAATTTATAGGTGTCATCTAAGAGTTACAACATTTCTTTTAGCTTTTTTGTTTTGTTTTCTCGTTAAGGGTTCTATGGCACAAGCTTTTTAAATCCCGCACCTTCTTGACCAAGTTTGAGCTCTTCATAGATTGTTGGGTTCACTTCATTGCACTGGGTGTGTGAATCTACGCCATACAGACTTGAGGTTTTATTGGCTGCTCCATTACCACTACTATGCCCATCACCGGCACCAATCACAACTCCGCCGTTTGTCCCCACTCGGGTCGTCATGGTGGCAGGCGTTGTCGTATTTGTTGTTGTTGTCAAATTGGTTGAGGCGGCTGGTGCCCGACTAAAGTTACCATTGCCATTAGTATGCGTCAGGGCGGATGTTACAGTTGGTAACTAAGCGTGAGTATATTATTAAGTTGCAAGAAAAAAGGGAGGATTTTTGATTATTTTCGGTTTGCCATACACAGAAGGATTTTTCAGCACACATACACACAACCACATATGCACATACGTGTGTTCATTGAGTTAGGCATTTAGCGTGACAGGAAAAGAAAAATACAAAAAATAAAATAAATACAAATAAATATAAGTGAATTGTTTAAGAAAAAATTTATGACAAAAACACACAAAGAAGAATAAAAGAATGACAAGAAGTAAATAAGTAAGCAAACAGGCGAGCCACCATAAATTTATATTTGAAGCAGCACAATTGTTGTTGTTGTATCAGCAACAAACTAAGCTGCCATTGTCAAAATAATACGAACGCCCACAGAATCACCCAACCAAAAATAGTAAGAAATCCTTAAACAGTGGATCACAAAAGAGTGCTTCAATTTGGACATAATCTAATTGAATTTACTAATAAATGTCTAGACACATCACAACCTACAACAACAACAAAATGAGATTGAGTATTGCAAAATAATGACCTTAATATAGGTCATGTCAAGTTCAAGGCATCTTAATACATTATTTTGTTCATATTCAAGAATATAAATATTTTATGGTTATTGTTATTTGAAAAGAGCTTTGTTGTTGTATGAGTATGAATGAAATAATAAAATTTCAATTAGTTTTTAACCCATTTTATCTAAATAATTATATTAAAATTTATTCAATTTAGATGTTTTGCATTTAAAATGGGGTCATACGTTTTATGTGCTCGTTTCAACCAATTCCTACCAACAACTAAAAACCAGTATTTATTGTTGTGTCACCCAGTAATGAGTGAATAAATATCAAAGCATACTTTCAGGCGCATATTTTGCTTATGTGTAGTCAAATAATAAAATAATTTTAAAATATTAAAATAACTGTTACAAATGAACCATTATCATACGAATGCATCGATTTGGAGCCGTTTGCATCTTTCAGTATACACAGGATTCACAAATATTTCATCTTATGCAAAAAATGTATCAAATTGAAAACCATGTTCGAATGTTTTAATGTCTGTGTTGAAATTGCCGACAATTTTGTGGATTAGACCAAGAGCCTAGTAGATCTTTGGACTTTATTTAAGTGTACACAGTTAAAAAACAAATCGTTTACATGCAGTTAAAATTTTTAAACTACATTTTATAAGGAATGTAGCAAACTGAGTAGGACGATTGCCTCTATCTTAGAACTTCGTATATTTGCTTAAGTTGTGTGAACTGAAGTTGATTTTAAGACGCTACAGTTTTAGACTGATATTCTGATTCGATTGTTCGTCATATCAAGGTGTTTATATCCTTATTAGACTGAAGGCTATAGGATTTTCAAACTCAAAACACGACATTAACGTAACTATGCTAAAAAGTGGTCCCAAATATTACATTGCAGACAATTCGCTATATTATAATTTATTCAATACTGATAATTTGGGGCTTGTTGGTTTTCTAAACCAAATACCAGTAAGAAAAGTGGTAAAATCGGACGGGGCCAATTATATGATACCCTTCACCACTTTGAGCATGTTCAACAGATGCATCCTAACATATGTCGCATTTTTGAAGGACCATTGACAGGAACTTGGTTGAGTGCGTTTTTCAACTGAATTCGCTGAAATTTGGTACTTTGGTAGCAAATCTCTCCACTAAAAGTTATAAATATATGTCCACTTTTTCGGATAGCCCCCATATAAGGGTACCCCCAATTTTGCGGTATTTAAATCGCATTTTTCGACCGAATTTGCTGAAATTTGCTACTTTGAGTTCTTATTGGGTAGCAAATCTCCCTAATAAAAATTATAAATATATGTCAATTTTTCGGATAGCCCCCATATAAACGTAGCCCCAATTTTCGGTATTTTGAGGTTTTTCAAGCAAATTCAAATATGGTAACAAATCTCCATCCCAAAAATTAGTAATATGTGCACATTTTAGGGGTATTCCAAATATAACCCCCATTTTATATTAAAATAGTTATCAGTTCTGTTCCGCGTTTTGGGTTGGGTTCTAAGTCTTTGTTGTAATCATTCTACCTGAGGAGGATATCGAGATAAAAATTAGAACGTGAGGTTCGAGAATAAACTATATAAAACCTGTGGTGATGGTCTTATATAACTTCAACCTCTAAATTGCAGTATTTTGGGGATGTTCCGTCCTACAATGCATCGTCAATATCGGTCCACTTTTCGGTGTTTTTAGGAAAAATATCCATAACAATTTCTGAAATTATTATTTCAAGTATATCGGCAGGCATCTCCTTCATATAATGATAATTCCTAAAGGGAAGAATTGAGATACATAACAAAAATATTGGGTTCGAAATTTACATATATCGGTCATTAATTTGGCATAGCCCTCATATAATGATAACCTTAAATATTCGCTAATTCCAACACTATGTAATCAATATTGGTCCCCCTTTAGGCATAGCCTCATATAACTTTGCTATCTAAATTGCAGTAGTTTGAGGATTTTATACTCTATCATGCGTTATTAGTATCAGTCCACGCTTTAGGGTTTTCAGATTATAGGAAAAATCCCCATTAAAAAATGCTGAAATTTTTATTTGGTGTATATAATGGTTTACATAAATCCGTTTGTTGCATTATCGGTATAGGTCCTTTTTGGTATTTTTCCATTTAAAGTATCTGTCTACATATGGTGGAGGGTATCCAAAGTTCGGCCCGGCCGAACTTAATGCTTTGTTCACTTGTTTTGTTTTCAACCTCCCAAACTAAAGAAAATTTGTCATTTTTGGTAAGAATATTTCCTATCCAATGCTAAACCGCCAAATTGATCGGCCAATTGAATTATTGAGAAAAAATTTCGTAGGTAAATTTGGGTCGGCCGATTTGACATCAAGATCGTATATGTAAACTACAATCACGCTGATTCAGACTTGAATCATTCACTAGATAAGATAATATTTGAATTATAAAAGTGAAAGTCGTGATTGAATGTGAAGTAAAATGGATTTTTATGTGTCGATATCATCACGAATTTGGGAGCATTACTTCATCATGGCATACTTATGGAAGGTAGTCTAATTTAAGAAATAAATAATGACAATCCTTTTTAACACTAGATTGCCGACGGCAGTCATTTTGACCGTTTTTCAATTTCAAGTACAAAGAAAATTGTGTATATTATGACCCAGCTTTTTAAAAATTGGTGACTTTTTGTACCACATAGAACTACGTTTATTAATCATAGTAGCTGCTTCCTCCCCTCTTTCATTCCCGGTATTCACATGTGATATACCTATATTGCCTAAAAGCGGTCATTTTGACCTTTTGTGAAATATTAAATAATCAAACTACTTTTATTTTTGTATAAAGTAAATTTCTTATATGACCAGATCAGTACAACAACATCGAAGCCCGTTTGCTACTCTAGAAACACAAATGAACATACAAATCGGGAAAAATAAATTTTATATTTCCAGTCGATTTCACTCTTAGAGTAAAGACTTCCTCTTTTTCGAACATTTTGTCCGCGTTCTTATTTTTCAAAAGGGGAAACTCGATAGCCCTACAACCGAAAACAAATAATAACAACATTTTGTATGATTGTAAATAATGTGAAAAATATTAAAAAAATAGTTTAAAAAATTTCTTTACACAATAAAAATTCTTTCAAAATTCCCGTCTTTCTAGTGTTAATATGGAATTCATATATGGGCAATATTGCCAATTTTTTAACATAGCTGAAGCGGAGGTTCACCCCTTTATAACTCGGGAACTACTTAAGTATATGAACAAAAGTGAATAGTTTTGGGTTAATTGATCTGTCGTTGCAAACTGTTCATGATATTGACCTCCAAACTTTATTTTGGTGGAAGCTGTGTCTACTTTAATGTAAAAAAATGTGTAAAAACAGGTTGAGGCGAACCAGTTTTTTTATGTTCTCTATCGATTTGTGACTACGCCAGTCATTGCACGGTCTTCGTGTCAAAATAAAACTAGAAGCCAACAAAATGGGGACTACGCCCCTTATGTATAATTTTTCAAAATTTTCACTGCATCTACCTTTAAATGATGCTGACATTTTGAAGCTCGATTTTGAGTGTTTTTTTTAATTTTACTTCTAGCTTTAATACGCAAACAGGAAGTTATAAAAATCGATTATAAGATTATTGTAGTCGCGAATCTGCGTAATTTGATATGTATTTTGTGTATGTAGTATGCACAGCTTCAGAGTAATACTCATCCGAAGGTGCGAATTTTGTGCGATCAAATTTCTAAAAAACCTATTTTTCGGGCCAAATTTTTAGATCTGTCAACTGAATGATATGGGTACCCGCGATCATAAAGGTTTTTTACGTTTCGGATGATATAAAATCTTCTTGGTGAAAATCCATCTACTAGAACGGCGGGAACTGGCCTTCAAAAACACGAAATTTGGCAAAAAATGTTTTTGAAAATATCGCGGATTTATTTGCGTTTTCTGTGTTTCATTTCCGCTTCAATAAATGACCTCATGCGGATTTTGATCTTTCTCGAAAAGAGAACTTTAAAAACTTCAGCCGAAAGAGAGATGTACGCAATTTATCTCAAAAATAGATTTTGCTGGCACATCCATGGTTCTTAATGGACCACATTGAAATGGTATAGATCGATGTATTTTTTTAGGGTGCACACCGAAATCGGATGCGCGTTAATGGCATATGGTGTTTTCGGAAATTATTCGCGTTTTAAGATTTTTTGGGTACTTCGATGTAACGTGCGGCACATCTTAGCCGTCAAATGAAATTTCGCAAAATATGTATGGATTGGAAGATAAACTTCAGTACTTCCTGGAAACCGCATGCGCATCAAATGATTTTGAGAATTACGCGATTTAGACGCAATTTATCTCAAAAATAGTGTGAGCTGGCACATCCATGGTTCTTAATGGACCACATTGAAATCGGTATAGATCGATATATTTTTTTAGGGTGCACACCGAAATCGGATGCGCGTTAATGACATATGGAGTTTTCGGAAATTATTCGCGTTTTACGATTTTTTGGGTACTTCAATGTAACGTGTGGCACATCTTAGCCGTCAAATGAAATTTCGCAAAATATATATGGATTGGAAGATAAACTTCAGTACTTCCTGGAAACCGCATGCGCATCAAATGATTTTGAGAATTACGCGATTTACACGCAATTTAAAATGTATATTTCATAATATTTTTTTATTTTAAGATTTATTCCTATTTATAGAATTCTAAGATTTATCGGAAGGGTCTTGATAAAATCCGGAAGGCGTATACTTATACACAAAAAGTGATTATTATATATGTCAATTTTTCGGCGAAATTCGGGTAAAATAGCAGAATAACCCCAACATTTTTTTCTGAAATTTCTTGTATACAATTAAAAAAATAAATATGATGACATTATTTTTTCGAACCAAAAAAAAAATATTTTTCCTCAATATCTTGTTTTGTTGTCGCTGCGATTTAGAAACCGCTACATGGACTTGTGTGATTTTGATATCATTTGATTCATCATGGTGTTTAGATTATGTAGATATTTTCAAATTAATTTTTAGGTGTGTGTATGTCATTAACATAATGAAAATATTGATGTAATCTGCTATATTTTTTTATTTTTCTTATATTTCGCGAATATGTGCAACTTTATTGTGATTGTTATAATATATTCATATTCTTATTTTACGGAGGAAGATATATATCAACGTTTTTGGTCAATATAATAAACGGCGTAATTTTAAGATTTTTTTCTTATGCCCAAAATTAAAACCTCGATAACTTTTGCGCGCATCAACCAAAAATTTGATCGCGAACGGTTTCGGAGTCAGAACATTTTTCTCTATATGTATACCAAAAATCATTGCTATGCCACAAAAACAAAAAAGCGGATTTTTTGAAAATGGAATATTAAAAAATTGGCAATATTGCCCATATCTATTTCAAATAAAATGAAAAATAAATTCCATGAAATTTTACGAATATCTATTGGCATATTTTCAATAAATTAAACGAAATATATTTTCTAAAGCTGAGCATTGCTCTCAAGATTTAACCATGATTGTTTTAACTTATATTTATAAGTTTTAGAGGCAGGGAACTTCAAAATATTCATAACTATAAATAATTTAGCAATTTCTTGCCATTGTACACATGATATACGTATATTTCGAAGGAAGATATTTTCATTTAATATTTCAAAGCTGAATACTGTCAAAGCCAAATTTATGAATAAATTGGGAACATTTGACTGCATGAGACTACCTTGCATAATTATGCCATGTTGCTTCATATATTTAAATTAAAAGAAGTTTCCCTTGTTTACAATATCAACCACAATCTCATAGAAATTTCGAATTACAACTCACACAAATTCCCTCCACTTAACTCTACATTTAACCTACAATTTAACATATTTAGCCTTTTATGATCCACTGTTGGTTGAGCTTCTCTGTTTCATCTTTCCTTGGGACCTTTTGCAACTGATTTCACTCATTTTATGTTTGCTTTTGTTTTTCGACTTTAAAACACACAACACGTCGTACAACATAACACCAAAAAAACAACAAGTTACTTTGATACAATAAATCCAATTTTGTTGTTTAGCTTGGCTTTTATTTACTTTCCTTATTTTATTCATTCTTTCATGCATTTTGTGTGTGTGGTGTGTTAAGTATGGCTGCCTGTGTATGTGTGAAGGCAGTGTTTTTGTGGTAATTTTTGTAAGAAACATTTACTCATAACTCTTACCTGTACTTGTTCTAAACCTCGAGTGTATGTTGGATTCTCAAATGCCACTCCAGTGGCTGCCTTACCATTTGCTCGATGTCGTCTGTAGAAAATAATGGCGGCGGCTGCTAACAGCACCGCCAAAATGCTGGCAACGATGCCGCTTATCGTGCCCACAGCATTCGAGTATAATGTTGTCGCGGAGGTAACATGATGCTCGCCAAGTGTGAATTTTATCGGTTCCGTTAAAACACTGGCACCTGGAAAAGTGGGAAAAACAAAGAAAACAGGAAAATTAACGAACGAGTGTAGTGTGTGGCAGTGATATGAAATGGTGGGACCACAAAACGAAACATGGTAATAAAATATGGGCTACCAGAGTGTAGACATAATAAATATGTTGCCTAAAAGTAGGCAACATATTTTAAAGTTTATATAACCTAACGATTAAAAATTTAGTTTTTTCTTGATTAAAATTCTTGATTAAAATTCTATTTTCTTTCCAAACTGATCTAGAACTTTATATTGAAATTTAATTTAAAACTGGATCAATCAGTTTGCATATTTCATACAATTTCTAACAAACCCCACATTCACTTGTCTAAATAAATCTAAGTGGCAAGTGCCAGCCACTTAAGATGTTCACGTTTAAGGTCATGGTGAGCTGGCACATCCATGGTTCTTAATGGACCACATTGAAATCGGTATAGAAAGATATATTTTTTTAGGGTGCACACCGAAATCGGATGCGCGTTAATGACATATGGAGTTTTCGGAAATTATTCGCGTTTTACGATTTTTTGGGTACTTCAATGTAACGTGTGGCACATCTTAGCCGTCAAATGAAATTTCGCAAAATATATATGGATTGGAAGATAAACTTCAGTACTTCCTGGAAACCGTAACCTAACGATTAAAAATTTAGTTTTTTCTCTCATTGATTAAAATTTTATTTTCTTTCCAAACTGATCTAGAACTTTATATTGAAATTTAATTTAAAACTGGATCAATCAGTTTGCATATTTCATACAATTTCTAACAAACCCCACATTCACTTGTCTAAATAAATCTAAGTGGCAAGTGCCAGCCACTTAAGATGTTCACGTTTAAGGTCATGGTTACCCAAAATCCTTTCATTATTTCTCGTACATAAATTTTCCAATTTCGTGCACACCTTCAAAGCAAACAAACCCACACACATATACACATCACTCACTTATGCACTAGTGCATACTTCATTTCAACTTACCATAGATATTGCCAGCTTTCACAACCAACTCGTATAAGACATCCTTTTTGAGACCATCTATATTCACACTGGTTTCCTTGACGTCAATGCGTCTCACCTCACTGCCTATTAGTGGCGGAGCCGTGATATTACCACCAACACCTCCCATTGGCATGCTTGTTGCATTATTATTCAGCATTGTTGGCTCGAGAACCGCAGCGGCACCGCTAACACCAGCACCGCCATTTATTGTCTCGCTAGATGTCACATCGTTACCAATTATGGCCGCTTCATGGTAGAAAATGCGATAGCCATCTACAGCATTGGGATTTTTGGTTGGTGGATCCCATCTGTGGGAATAGACAATGATGGAAAAACAAAAATAACGAATGAATGCATGGAAAGAAAGTAACATCAAATGTTTGTCGTTGTTGTTGTAAAGATATACGCAAATGTACTAAAACTTGAATATATTATATACATACTCTATACACATATACGTGGGAAATATAGGTGTGTAGAGATAATTAAGGCTTAGGCTTATAAAGGCCTCAATAAAGTACGACAAAAAACCTCCTTGACCGAAAAAAAACTTAGCCATCAGCATGACATTTCCTCAATCTAGTATTGTAAATATTTACGTATAACTCCAAACTTCCGAGTAAATACAACAGCATGATTGGTATCAATTTAAAAGTCAAACAATTCTTTGGATATATTGTCAACTTCTCCAGGCTATATCCTTCAATATTAACCTATCATTAGCAAAAATAATAGGGTTCTTCTTGGCCAGAATCTGTCGTGACGATTGGTCCATAATTATCGCACGTATTGTGTTTACAAATTATAATGGGCAGATGGACATACAAGTCTAGATCGACTCAGCTAGTCGAGATATTACGATCGGTATACTAGGACTAGGTCTAGGACCAATATTTGGCGGCGTTACAAACTCTTGGGGCCATAAAAAACTATAATACTGTGATACGCTTAAACAACGGCGACACGCGTCGCTTAATGGCGGTTCGTAGGTTCTTCCCCTGGCTTATCTTTTCATTGCAAAACTTCGGTAATTAAGCTCGACTCGAAAGAAATAAAAGTGGCTTAAAAAAGGAGAGAAATAATAACATTGTACAACAACCCGAAGGTAGTATGAAAGAGTCCTGGCCCTAAAGGAAAGGATAGTCTATACTGCCTGCGTAAGGTTCTACTGATGGTATTATTGGTTTCTGTAATCATTCCGATATCTTGAAGAATATATTAATATTAACCTGAAGTAGAACCAATGAAGTTCCCAGACTCTTTTGTTGGGCGTTCATAGAGTGTAAACGGCTTCCTAGTAGATTTTTATAGGTCTATGTTTTTAAATATTTGCAAGAATTTTCTGATCGAAATTTTATCATTTTGGAGTTCCTCGTATAACAATTTTCAATATAGGTTCATACTTTTCAATATAGGTTCCCCTCCGCTATGGCTGTAAGTTTTCGCATAAATATATAGCGTAACTCCAATTTTATTGTGGTGGCGTGATACAGGGGATAGTGTACCACACTACAAAACAATGGCACCCAGGTTCGAATCCCAGAGAAAGAAACAAATTTTGAGAGAAATTGGCACCCATATTCGAATTGCAGATTTTCGAAGACGAAACAAAGGACGAACCCTATTGAAATTGGGAAAAATCGGTTCAGATTTAGATATAGCTCCCATATATATTTTCGTCCGATTTAAGGTAAATGGTGCACCAAAGACCCTATATATCTGACGATTTGCACGAAATTTGGCATAACGTACTGAATTGAGCCTAGAATTATGTCTGCCAAGTTTCGTGAAAATCGGTCGCGATTTAGATATAGCTCCCATATATAGTTTCGTCCGATTTCAGGTAAATGGTGCACCAAAGTCCCTATATATCCTTCGAGTTGCACGAAATTTGGCTTAAAGTACTGAATTGAGCCTAGAATGATGTCTGCCAAGTTTCGAGAAAATCGGTCCAGATTTAGATATAGCTCCCATATATAGTTTCGTCCGATTTCATGTAAATGGTGCACCAAAGTCCCTATATATCTTTCGATATGCACGAAAGTTAGTATAACGTACTGAATTGAGATGTCGGCCAAGTTTCGAGAAAATCGGTCCAGATTTAGATATAGCTCCCATATATAGTTTCGTCCGATTTCATTTAGATTACATAGTGTAGAAATTAGCGAACATATGTCAATTTCGAACCCAATATTTTTGTTTTGTGTCTCAATTTTGTTCCTTCAGGAGGTATAATTATATGGGGGAGATGCCTAAATGCTGGCCGATATATTTCATTAACGTCAGGTTCGAGTTTTTTATCACGATTTCCTTAGAAAGCGGAATGATTACAACCGATGACTAGATCGTCTTAGAATTCCATAATTTGTAGGGTAAAACTGACTATTTCAAGTAACGATTATCCGCTATACTATGGTAGAATATGCCTAGATGGGAAAACCGTTACACACGGAACTAATCAGCTAACAATTTTAATATAAAAAGGGCGTTATATAGGAATAACCCCAAAAAGGGGCGAATATTAATCACTTTTGGTAGGAAGAGTTTTTACCATATGCGACTACAAAATACAAAATTTCAGCGAATTCGGTTGAAAAACGCGCTCAAGAACACCAAAATACCGAAACTTGGGGGTGCCCTTATGTGGAGCCTTGCCAAAAAATGAACCTATGTTTATAATTTTTAGTGAAGAAATTTGGTACTCAATAATAACCCATTGTACCAAATTTCAGCGAATTCGTTTGAAAAATGCTCTCAAGAACCCCAAAATATCGAAAATTGGACGGTACCCTTATGTGGAGCCTTGCCGAAAAAATGAACCTATATTTATAATTATTAGTGGAGACATTTGGTAGCCAAAAAGTACCCAATGTACCAAATTTCAGCGAATTCGATTGAAAAACGCGATCAAAAACCCCAACATATCGAAAATTGGGCGGTACCCTTATATGGGGCTATCCGAAAAAATTGACCAATATTCATAATTTATTGTGGATAGATTTGGTACCTATAAATAACTCAAAATACTAACTTACAGCCAATTCCGTTGAAAAATACGATCAAAACCACCAAAATAACGGAAATTAGGAGGTACCGTTATATGGGGGCTACCAGAAAACGTAGACCTATATTTATAATTTTCTGTGGAGACATTTAGTACCCAATAAGAACCCAATGCACCAAATTTCAGCGAATTTGGTTCAAAAACGTGCTCAAGAACTCCAAAATACCGAAAATTGGGGTGTACCGTTATATGGGAGCTATGCCTAAACGTGGACCGACAAAAGACAACCCTATGCAAAATTTTAGCACCATATCTCAATTCGGAAGGACATGGCTAGATCGTCTTAGAATTTTACCTTGATCAAGAATATATATATATATATATATATATACTTAATAGGATCGGAAATGAATATTTCGATGAGTTACAAACGGAATGACAAAATTAATATACCCTCCATACTATGGTGGAGGGTGTAAAAAACTTCCAAGAAAACTGAAGTAGGACAACACTGATACTATTCACTGCTCTACTACAGCTGTCATTGTTTTTTTTTTTTTCTTCTTTAATAACCCTTACATAAACGTACTGTTTAATTTTGTTTGACGATTTTTTGGATGGATTTTCAGGCTAAGTGACTGTGTTTGGCTTTTCAGGTTCTTGGAATGCGAAAAAATAGGAGTAGTATAGTCGGACTGAACTGACTATATAATAACCTTCACCACTTTGGGTATATTCTAAATATGTATCCTAACAGACGTCGTCTATTTCTAAATCTGAACCGAATTTTACGAACCTTGTCTGAGATTAATTTATATTAACTTCAGTAAATTGTACAAAATTGTATGCCAATCGGACAAACATTCGGTCTTTAAAAAAATCGGAAGAAAATATATATGAACCGATTTCACATACGGCAATCTATACTTAATTGGGTACGCTGTGCAAAATGTCTCAATCGGGCAAATATTGTGACTTGGGTGAACTTTTGGGGTGCTACATGTAAATCTGAACCGATTTTCTCCAAGTAGATTAGAAGAACAAGACTGTCCAACTTTTCATCTCAGTCGTATTAGATATTCATAATTCGACTCAGATAATGATTCTGTGAAAATTCTCAAAATGAACCATGGGTCTATACCCCGTACCACAGTGTGGTGAAGGGTATCAAATCCTAGAAATACTGGCAACATCTGTGCAAAGTTTCATACCCTTTATCTTAATTATTGCGATCTCTATCGTGATTTCAACAGACGAATATGGCTAAATCGACATAGAATTTTGGAATATATACTGTATGGGGTCTTCGATGGTTATTTCGAGGTGGTGTAGGGTACAAAAAAGGAACGAGGGCCACTAAAACATTAGTTTTTAACGCGTTAACATAATCTTCTGGAGATGAAAATCGTTGATCAACACCTCGTAGTTCGAGCCATTGTATAAGCTTGTCCTGTTACTCTTTTTATTGTCTTTCAAATTTCTCCGCAGACTTCAACAAAACAAATTAGAATTGACCACATACTTTGCTTAAGAGGAATAGTCGTCAATTCTACCGAAGTAGCAGGCGACCATTTGCTTCGAAGTGTTTCTTCCAGGAATAACTCACGGTACAATACTATCTGGT